ATGTGCTACATGTTGGGATCATCTCTGCAATCAAATATCAAGAATTCATCTTTGTAACAAATCAACTATTGTGAGATTTAAACCAAAGTCTCATGGTTAGAAAGTCAATGTTCTACCCACATAGATATATATATATATATATATAATGGCTGGCTACTCATATATAATTATATCCATCTGCTTTCCTTTTCCTATGAAAGGACTTATTAAATAGGTCAAAATGTCTGGCACCTTACACTACAACACTTAAGTATCTTGATAAAGATAGATTTAAGCATATTTCTATCTCTCCTCTTCGCTCTCTTTCTATCACCTTACATCAACTTAAAACTATCCCTCAAAAACTTGTATAAAAATAATACGTAAATTTTTAAACTATTTTCTTTTATGCTTGGAAATGTGAGCTGAGGAACCAGGAAAAATCCTCTTCCTGGTGAAATAAAATATAATCAATGCACCCTTAATGTTGTCTTTTAATTAAACTATATATATATATATATATATATATATATATATATATAATTAACAGTATATCATGTAAATTTCAGCTTATCTAACCATATTATAAATATTGATTATAGTTTATTCTGCTAATTATATTATTAAGATTATTGTTCACTATGGCCTTCTTTAGGTGATTGGAATTTTGAACTGAACCCGTTATTTTGTCAACCAGGGTAGGTTGTTCTAGTTCTACATGCCATGCCTCTTCCGGATATCTCAGTTATTTCTGATCACCTGCAGAAGAATGGAATATACAACATCCTAAATGCTGTGAATATGGCAATGAAGATGAAGATAAAAATTCAAATAATGTAAATAATGATAATGATACATCTCAGAGATATAGACAGTTTATTTTGGTTTGTTTGTTTATATTATACAAACAAAGTTGCAAAAAATGTTTATTCATAAATAAATCTATAAAATATAGATCAGAGAAACATGTCTACATACACTATTCACTCAGAAATATTTTATATGCTGAAACATTTATATTTTAAGCAAATAAATAAAGTGCAATCTGTAAATATTAACCTTAAACAAAAAAGAAAAAAACTGCAAAAGCAGGTTAACATTTTCATTATAAAATTGATATTAGCCAATCAAATGTTGTTAAAAATTTCAAGATATGCTTTCATTTATTTTAAAAGAAATATATTGCAAAGAATTCACTTACCATCTATTAAAAATATCCATATTAACTTTGGGGTATCAGATTTTATGCAAATAAAGTGCAATATAATTTTTTATTTATAAATAAATCCAAAAGATATAGGCTATACAAATACATTTGATTAACACAATATCCCATGTAACTGAATAAATGATTATTTTACATGCTTATATGGGCTACTTGACGTTCTGTAACCTTCAATCTTTCAAACATGGATTTTGCTAATTTTCCCACTATTTTGGCTTTAGCAATACTTGCAGTTTTAATTACTTCCCAGAGATCTTTGCTTGAATATTGTTTCCATTTTCTTTTAATGATGGACCCCAAATTTCTATTGACAAAATTGTTGGCCATTTCATTAATTATTCATTGCTCAGAAGTTCAACTCTTATGAGGTGAACCAATATTAGAAAATTAAACAGAACATGAGAAACTTTGCCACACCTAATATTCCTGCAAATATTGAGAGAGAGAGTTTTGCAGTAGACAAGTGGTCATTTGACATCACTTTATACATGTTAAAATAGAATGTGTGCTTCACCATGTAGCAGTGTTTAGAAGGTTAATCTTACAGTTTATTACTACTATCACATTCACATTCTGACCATATCAGTCTATGTTAGTCTTAGTAAATATAAAGACAGTGGGAGTCTTTACTTCAAGGTTATCTCTCTCTCTCTTCTGGAAACAAAAACAGTTTTGATCTCTGCCAACAGCTGAATGAGTCTCAAGGTACCTTGCTATTTCAAAAGATCTAACTGCACCAAAGCAGAAAATTCTAGAAGTGACGACAATTACAGAAACCATATACAAGAATGAATCAATAAGTCCTTAACCTGACAAATAGTTATTGAAATTCTGATATGAAATTTTCACTGTATAATCTATATAATTGAATATAACTCACTACTGAAGGAAGTGAATTAACAAGTGATTATATTGAAAAATGTCATGTAAAATAATTTTTTTTCTTTAGACTGCAAACTCAGTGATCAAACTTCCCAGAGATCTTTGCTTGCATATTGTTTCTATTTTCTTTTAATGATGGACCACAAATTTCTATTGAGAAAATTGTTGGCCATTCCATTAATTTGGTGTCTTTGAAACTTTTTTCTTTTTGGTAAAGTGGGCAATAGTCAACTTTGTAGAATGTGAAGCAGCATTGTCTTGCTTGAATATATTCGTTAGATTAAAGCTTCTGACCTGTACCCCTCAAAAATATTTTATCCACAAACTTCTGCATATATCTTGAAATCCTTGTCACCTTTCAAGTGATCTATAATTTTACTTCTGATGAACAGTCAGTTATTTGTCATGCATGATACACACTTAGCCTATCATGTATCTTTCAATACATGACTGACAAAGCAAATTTTTTCCTGCAGTAGGTTGCCATTTCTTTCTGTGGTAGACCAGTTGCCATCCAAGGCTATAGAACCCGGTCTGTCCTGCTATTTGCCAATAGCTGGGAGGGAGAAGAAGAGGATTCATACCTTTTCCAAGGGTATTAGCCTGTAAGTGAATGTAATGGATTTGAGTGGAATTCAAATTCGGCTCTTTCATTCCTCAATCCGAGCTGCTATCTATTACTCCACCACTATCCATTACTTCACTGCTGATGATACTAAGCTAAAACTTTCTTCCATTTTCACCACTCACCTTCTAATTCATAATGGTTGACTATTTCCATAAATAGACCAGCTATCAGCATCATCCATAAAAATTACTGCTGATAAGTTTTCATGTACGTCTTTACCCAACTTGCACTATATTTAATTGAAGGTGATAATTTGGTGGCCTTTATATATTTAGCCAATGTTCTTAATATTTTGCATCTTTTCTGGTTAGATTTAAAATTCCAGCTTCTTCAAATATTTTCTTCTTGGCCAAATCTCTTGTTTATTAAAATTTTCATTTTTCATTTTTTTGTAATATTCTTAAAGCTTCTTTCTTTTTTTCATTTTCTGTTTTTTTTTTTTTTTTGAGAAGTTGTGGCAAATGCATGTCAGTAAAGACACGAAATAAGCATCTGGATCCCATGCAGACATGTCTGTCAAAACCAGTTACATCTGGGTTTTCCTCATTAGCAGCAGGACAGCTTGCATGTTCAGATACAGGCCTCTCTGCTATTTGTCTTGATCTGGGTTTCTCGTAGCATCTCTTGTCAATAAAAGCAATGGGAAAACTAGCAGTCTGCAGTGGGAAAGACTTGATGTCTTGTGAAGTCACTCCCATGGTAATTTTGTTCCTAAAGTTGCTGTGCTTTCTGAAGCAGTTTCATTTTGTTACCTCTCATCTCATTGACTTTCTCTGCCTATTGCTCTCAGTGGCTGGGAGAGGCTATCATTTAGGTGTTTCCCCAAACCTCAATACACCCTTTATGACAGAAGTTTTCATGCATTTCTTCATTCAACTTATATTTATCATATTTAATTAAAGAAATAAGGATAAATAATAACTTGCTTTGAGGATGATTGCAGACATAAAAAGTACAACATAAATTTTCATTTATAAATATAGTCAAACATATGATCTGTAGAAACATATATTTGATTAATAGAATATTTTATGGAGCCAAATAAATTATTATATTATTATTTTACATGATATTATGGCCTTTTTGACATTCTATAAATCTCACCAATCTTTTAGCCATTGATTTTGATAACTGTTCTCATCTTTCAATTTTTACTTTAACTGCACTAATATTTCTTATACTCACATACATCTCTTTTAATTATGGAGCTTGAGCTTTAAGAAAATACAAAATGAAGACCCGCTCTACTTGCAAAAAAAACAAAAAAAAACATAGCTATTGTATTAGGTTTATATTGGTTTTCAGTATAACCTTTTCTCTCAAATTATTTATTTTATGTTTTGCAAGATCCAAAGCAGAGGAGTCATTGGGTGAATTAGTTGAAATCTTTTAGAATATTTAATTAAATTTCTTTATGTGTATTCCAGAAACATTAGCAAAGGAAAACCCTAATTTCAAAATCAGCCTTATGAGGGATGGTCTTCGTCATGTTAACTTTTCTTAGACATACCCACAACTTTTGTGGATGAATTACATATGGTACTCTTTCAACTCTAATTGGTTATGGAACACTGGAAGTAAGGCAGATGTTTTTGAATTTGGTGTCTTGAAATCTTTTGAGAGAAGATGGTCAATAATCAGCCTTCCAGAATGTGAAGGATCATTGCATTGCATGAATGTAATTTTTATCCTAAAGTTTCTTGGTTGTGATTTGTATCATTCAAAAATATCTTGTCAAAGATTTTACAAGAATTCTCTGTATTTTTCTGGAACAATCATCCACTTTGAAGGGATATTATTTTACTGTCTGCAATAATATCCAAAAAACATTCAACCACACACCTGTAGACTATTTCCATGAAGGACACAACATCAAGTACAGTCATCAGTTCTACATTCTTCTACTAAAATTACTGATGAGAAATCAGTTTTCATGTACTTCTTCAGCCAAATGACATGTTTCTCATTGTGATGTTTGTTTGCTGTCATAGCTTTAACCAATACTCTTAATATTCTGCATCTTTTTGTGTCTTTATATTGTTTTTCTATTATTATATTGTTTTCTATTTTTCTATTGTTTTATATTTTTTCTATTGTTTTATATTGTATATTATATTGCTTTTTATATTATTTTTTCTCTTTATATTGTTTGTATTAGATTTGTCTTTCTGTTTGCAATAGTAGTTGACATTTAAACTTGAGAGTCATTTTATGACTAGTAGTCCTTAATTACTTGAAAAATTGGTGCTGCACAGTCTTACCACTCTTTATACATCCCTGTTTGATATGGTGAAAAATTCAATTTATTATTATTTTGATTTTAACTTCTTTATAACCGGAAGCACTGTGGATCATTATTCATTTCAACCTGTGTTTCAATGTGATATAGATGTAAGCCTTAATAAAAAGGATGTGCATTTAGTTTCAAGCTATTCTGTTGCATTCACTTTCACACAAAAATAGCATGAAGCAAAAAAAGCATGAAGCTATATCTTCACCCTAACAACTATGGATTAAATAGCAGGATAGACTAAGATCTTAAGCTTTGGATGGCAACCAACCTCAAAGAAGGAAAAAATTTTATTCAAAATAGTGGAAAAAAACAACAGAAAACTACTCCACTATCTTTCCAAAGAATCTCTTGTAATTCACAGATAATAAAGAAAAGGAATATGTCAAGAGGGATGAGCCATTTCTTTTCTCCCAATTGTGGGTTCAATAGCAAGGTAGTTTTAGCTTTATAGAGTTGGCTGGCAACCAGTCTAAAAGAAAGAAATAATGAAGGCAATAGAAAAGCATTCTACCTTCTTTTTCAAAAAGGCAATTCATAAATAAATGAGCAAAGGAATCTATGTAAAGCCATGATCACTTATGTCTTGAAGGAACATGGCATTTTAAAAATACAGAAATTAATAAAAATGCTAATGTGTCACTATTTTATAGTGAGAAAAATAGTCTAGCTTACTTATTTATAAGTATGCCATTCATCAATGCATTGAATATTGCTGCTACAAGAGGCCCTTGGCAACACATATGTTCCAAGGAACATAGCATTTCTTGAAGGCCTTCGACAAGGTGTGGCACAAAGGTTTGCTTCACAAACTCTCTACCTGGAATCACTGGAAGGGTTTTCTCTATTATAAAATCCTTCCTAACAGGTAGGGTCCTGAAGGCAGTTCATAATGGCCAGTCCTACAAGGCCCTGGCAGTCAATGCAGGTGTCCTTCAGAGGTTACTTCTTGGATTAACCCTCTTTTTGATTTCTATAAATAATCTGCCTAAGAATATACTCTGGTCATTTGTATACATCTATACCAATGATACGACGATATATAAGCGCACTTTTAAAAGTCTTGATGGTCAGAGATTGGCAGCTGACCTCTCTTCTAATATACCAATAACTTTTTAGTGGGGAAAAAACTGGTTAGTTACATTTAATGCTTCTAAAACCAAACAGGTTACATTCCATCAGACCCCAAACTACTGACAGTCAAGATGAACGGATGTCCACTCGAGGAGGCCCCATGTCTTGAGAACATATTGGGAAAACTCAAGTTGAATTCCTATATACAATCCATCTCTAAAGATGCAGGTAAAATGATTGTGAGAGAAGAATAATTTTCTACCCTCGAACCTCTCTCTCACAGGTAGGATGGGCAAGCATCTCACTGCTCTATCAATACTACAATGGAAAGTGCTTAGACGAACTGCATCTCCTGGTTCCACCAGGTTTGACTTTCATGACTAGAATATGCCATTCCACTTACATAGTAGTAAATCACCCACATTTTCTCTGTATTCCATTGACAAAAAGTAAGTTCCACTCAAACAGCTTCTTCCTGCAAACCACTGTTTCCTTCTGAATCAACAACATAGTATCACCAACAATATCAGTTGCATATCTCTAGATTATGTCCACCAATAGTAAATCCTAATAGGTTTTACCATTCTTATTTTGAAAAAGTCTGAAATACTAACATTTTTACTTCTGTATAGAAATATTTGTTGCAAAATAAATCCCTAAGATAATCAGCTAAGATAAATTTTCCTTTGGTCTTTATTCTAATATAAAAATATAGAAAATTAACTCCTCACTTTGAAAACAGCAAAAAATATACCAATAATTTTTATTACCCTGAAAATATGTCAGCCAAAATCACTTATATACAGAATTTTTATGTGGGAAATAAAATTCAATCCAGCAGTCACACATCCCAAGGACACACAACTTAACAATGCATAGACAAACTCCCCGAATTCAATCAAGTTACTCATTTTATAGAACCTAATTTGCATAGTACAATGTGAATCTGATTCAGAATTTACATTTCCTTCGAGACTCATGCTGACAATTTATATATATATATATATATATATATTGTCACTACAAATGCCAGCATACATGTTGTATGCTGGCATTAATAAAATAGTGCTCAATGTAAAATAACAGAGCTATAAATTATATATTCATAATAGATATACATTTTTTTCCTCACCTCTAATGCAACATTGGATTTTTTTATGCATGCTGCAATGCAGAGTTAAAACTGATCGTTACATAATTTAAATTTGGATTCTGTTCTACTATCATGATAGTCCGGTAGGTATATAACAAAATTTTAATGTAACTGCCTGTCTTAGCTCTGCACCTGATGATTGCATTGTGCATGAAACTCAGAGTTGTGTTACTGGTGAGGAAAAAATGTGTATATATATATATATATATTTGGGGTATTCGACTGGATACAAAAATTTGGGTTTAGAGAGTTGTTGTCATGGACTCCATACAGGTACCATATACGCCAGCTGGATGTTTGCCATTAAAGCTGTCTGCATGCAATCTCTGTGGAGTTAACCGTCAAGATAGGACATCTAATGTAGACCTATTTAGCAGGTGTAATATTGGAGGAAATGCGACTTTTCTCTTACAGTCTCAATTACGGTGAACTAGTCATGTCTTGAGAATGTCTGATGACAGGATACCCAAGATCCTAATGTACAGCCAGTTAGATCAGGGCTACAGGAATGTAGGACGACCATGGCTAAGATACAAAGACAAGCTGAAGAGCAACTTCTCAGCTGTCAATATACCACATAACACCCTTGAGTGCTTTGCCTTGGAGCGGGTAGAATGGAGATCAACATGTTTTAGTGGACTCAGCAGTTTTCAAGCAGCTTGTCTGAATCGTCTTCAAGAAGCAAGAGCAAGATCTAAAAGGTCAGCCAATCTAACAGTGATCTCATTCCACAATCCTTACTCTTGCTCCATATACAGCCTCCTTTGTAAATCACTAACAGGTCTTACGTGCCATCAGTTAAGTGGTCAGATCCTCATACATTGAAACCAACGGGAGAGTCCATTATTATATTATTATTATTATTATTATTATTATTATTGCCATGGGTCCTTACCTATAGCTACAGAATTAACTCTTCCTAACACTATGTATACTATGCCTCTCAAGAGAGACGGTCGAATCAAGTCTATCCAATAGTAGTTCACTCCAAACCAGACTGACATTCATGCTAACAGCTTTCTCATCTTGTATTATTATTTCATGTGATATACCTTCATTATTTCTACTCTTGTGTTCATGTTGTTCTTCCTTGGTCCTAACCTGGACCACAACAATTATATATATATATATATATATATATATATATATATATATAATTAGACATAATACAATAATAAGACAACATCATAAAATGGGAACATTAATTTCAGATTTTATTTTGAAGTTTTCTTTGTTTCTCTTGAAAGAATGAAGTTGTAGATTTTTAATGAGATTCCATCAATTGCTTAAAAGTGGATTTGAGTAAACCTGTAGATCTCAGTAAGGACATTCCTTCTTAGAATCTTGTGGACTGATGTTACAGAATCACAAAGAATTGTACCAAATAATAGAAACCACATTACTTGAGGACTATTAACAGAAATAACAACTAAACTGGATAGCACTTGTAACTCAAAGAAAGAATAATGACATAATCAAGATGCTGACGTTGGACATGACTTCAAATGAATGGTTATAAAGGAACCCTCCCAATTTATAATGGGAAGGGTAATAACAGTTAATGAACTTGAAAGAAAGTTTTTATAATTTTCAACCTCTAGCAACAATGGCTGTTCTGTCAAGGAATGCTGAATGTTTCCTTATAAGGAAACAGTTAATATTACCATTCCTTTGTCTCATTTATTTTGCTCTTTTCATTTTCCAATCTCTTTTTCTCCCCAAAAACATTTCCTTTTAAACATCTAATGCTTCCACCAAAATTTTTTTTCCTCTTTTAAAGTTTTTGAGCTGATAAAAAATGTGGCAAACAAAACAAACTTTCTTTATGGACATTACATGGATTTCTTTACTGCTTTCATTTTTTTAAGATTTTTTTTTTCTTGGGGATGTTTCTTTTATTCACCCACTTTTGCACACACAATTTTGTCGCTCTGTTTTATAAAATAACATTTTTTTTCATCTTCATTCCTTTTCTGATTCCCACGTTTTCTGATCTTTATCAGAATTTTGCTTTCATATTTTGACATACAAAATTTTTGTTAATTTGTTTGCATATAAATATATGCGAGTATATGTGCATATATATATATATATATATATATATATATATATATATATATATATATATATATATATATATATATATTGTATGATTTTTCCACTTACAGAAACTTGTGTTTGCTTTTATTGTTTTTTTTCTTTTTTTAACTCATAGCTTTTGTTTGTTTTTTCTTTCTTACTTCTTTGTATCTTAATCCTGAATGTCTGATGTTTTTTTCCTTTTTTTACTTTCTTTCTCTTTTTGTTTCTTTCTTTTAACTGCAATAATTGATTTTTCTTTCTTTCTTCCTTTTTCCTTTCTTTCTATCAATTTCCAAAAAATGCTGCCTTTCTTTCTTTCTTCTTTCCATTTCTTTCGTCTTTCCCTTTATTTCCTTTTTCTTTCTTCCTTTCATCTTTCTTTTAATCACACTTAATACTGTTTTTCTTTCATTTTTGTTCTTTCATTCATCTTTTCCTTCACCATTTCCTTCTTTTCCACAAATTATTCATCCCACACTGTAATACTCTCTATTTACCCCTCCCTGTGGATTTCACTTACACTCAATCTATTTTACTCTCTGCTTAACACTCCCTGTGAATTTCACTTTCACTCACTCTATATTACTCTCTATTTACCCCTCCCTGTGGATTTCACTTACACTCACTATATTACTCGCTATTTACCCCTCCCTGTGGATTTCACTTTCACTCACTCTATATTACTCTCTATTTACCCCTCCCTGTGGATTTCACTTACACTCACTATATTACTCGCTATTTACCCCTCCCTGTGGATTTCAGTTTCACTCACTCTATATGACTCTCTATTTACCCCTCCCTGTGGATTTCACTTACACTCACTCTATATTACTCTCTATTTAACCCTCCCTGTGGATTTCACTTACACTCTATATTTCTCTATATTACTCTCTATTTAACCCTCCTGTGGATTTCTTACACTTCTATATTACTCCTATTTAACCCTCCTGTGGATTTCAGTTTACACTCACTCTATATTACTCTCTATTTACCCCTCCCTGTGGATTTCACTTACACTCACTCTATATTACTCTCTATTTACCCCTCCCTGTGGATTTCACTTACACTCACTCTATATTACTCTCTATTTACCCCTCCCTGTGGATTTCACTTACACTCACTCTATATTACTCTCTATTTAACCCTCCCTGTGGATTTCACTTACACTCACTCTATATTACTCTCTATTTAACCCTCCCTGTGGATTTCACTTTCACTCAATCTATATTACTCTCTATTTACCCCTCCCTGTGGATTTTACTTTCACTTCTATATTACTCATTTATCTATTTTACTCTCTATTTAACCCTCCCTGTGGATTTCACTTTCACTCAATCTATATTACTCTCTATTTACCCCTCCCTGTGGATTTCACTTTCACTCAATCTATATTACTCTCTCTATTTACCTCCCCTGTGGATTTCCACTTTACCTCACCTATATTACTCTCTATTTACCCCTCCCTGTGGATTTCACTTTCACTCACTCTATATTACTCTCTATTTAACCCTCCCTGTGGATTTCACTTTCACTCAATCTATATTACTCTCTATTTACCCCTCCCTGTGGATTTCACTTACACTCACTCTATATTACTTTCTCATTTATTACTCTCTCCCCTGTGGATTTCACTTTCCACTCAATCTATTTTACTCTCTATATTAACCTCCTCCTGTGGATTTCACTTTCACTCAATCTATATTACTCTCTATTTACCCCTCCCTGTGGATTTCACTTTCACTCAATCTATATTACTCTCTATTTACCCCTACCTCCCTGTGGATTTCACTTACACTCACTCTATATTACTCTCTATTTAACCCTCCCTGTGGATTTCACTTTCACTCAATCTATATTACTCTATTTACCCCACTCCTGTGGATTTCACTTACACTCAATCTATATTACTCAATCTATTTACCCCTCCCCTGTGGATTTCACCCATTTCATATTACTCAATCTATTTTACTTTCAATCAATCTATTTAACCCTCCTCCTGTGGATTTCCTTTCACTTTCACTCAATCCTATATTTCACTCAATCTATTTACCCTCTACCTCCCTGTGGATTTCACTTACACTCACTCTATATTACTCTCTATTTAACCCCTCCCTGTGGATTTCACTTCTTTCACTCAATCTATATTACTCTCATTTACCCCTTTAACCTCCTGTGGATTTCACTTTCACTCAATCTATATTACTCTCTATTTACCCCTCCTGTGGATTTCCTCTTTTTCACTCAATCTATATTACTCTCTATTTACCCCTCCCTGTGGATTTCACTTTTCACTCAATCTATTACTCTATTTACCTCTCCCTGTGGATTTCACTTACACTCACTCTATTTACCCTCTATTTAACCTCTGTGGATTTCACTTTCACTCAATCTATATTACTCTCTCATTTATTTGGATTTCCTACCCTACTCTCTATTTATCTGGATTCACTTACACTCACTCTATATTACTTTAACCTCCCTGTGGATTTTTCACTTTCACTCAATCTATATTACTCTCTATTTACCCCTCCTGTGTTTCCTTTCCTCCCTGTGGATTTCACTTACACTCACTCTATATTACTCTCTATTTAACCCCTCCCTGTGGATTTCACTTTTCACTATAATCTATATTACCCCTCCCTGTAGATTTCACTTTCCCTATATTACTCTCTATTTAACCTGTGGATTTTCTTACACTCACTCTATATTACTTTCTATTTACCCCTCCCTGTGGATTTCACTTTCACTCAATCTATATTACTCTCTATTTAACCTCCCTGTGGATTTCACTCACTCACTCTCTAATCCTATATTTCACTTTCTCTATTTACCCCTACCTCCCTGTGGATTTCACTTACACTTTCACTCTCTCTATTTAACTCCTCCTGTGGATTTCACTTTCTCACTCAATCTATATTTCACTTACTCTATTTACTCTCTTTAACCCTCCCTGTGGATTTCACTTTCACTCAATCTATATTACTCTCTATTTACCCCTACCTCCCTGTGGATTTCACTTTCACTCAATCTATATTACTCTCTATTTATCCTGTGGATTTCACTTTCACTCAATCTATTTACCCCTATTTTTACCTCCCTGTGGATTTCACTTACACTCACTCTATATTACTCTCTATTTACCCCTCCCTGTGGATTTTCACTCATTCTATATTACTATTTTTCCCCTCACTGTGGATTTCACTTTCACTCATTTATATTACTCTCTTTTACCCTCACTGTGGATTTCACACTCAAATATTACAAGGATAAAGGGGAACAAGGAGTTTAGATGAAATATACCAAAATTTATTCTTGGCAGAAAATTACACTTGAAGAATCCAAATTTTTAAAATACCCTGGATGGTCATGCTGGTAGTTAACAGTCTTAGATGCATGGACAGTTGATGATGAGCAGAGCACCTTGAGTGGTGCCAAAGGTTGATAGACTGTTTTTATATTGGTTTTGGTACTAGCCAAGGTTAGACAGGTGTTGGTAACCAGAAGATGAAGATAAAACCACTTGGGGGGTGTTGAAGGATGATAGGCAATCAGCATTTTGACCTGGTACAAGCAGGAGGTCTTAGACGAGGGTAGGTGGTTGAAACCAAAATGATCCATGAGATGATGGGCAGCAGGGAGTGAAACCTAAATCGCTGAGTGGATTGGTAGAATACATCGTCAGCAGGAGTCAGTTGGTCACTGGTGATTGCTTGTTGCACTCACTTATGATGGCTGCTATTTAACCCTTGTCCAGATAATATCCAATCATCATCTTCTCCCTTGTCCCCGGTGAGTAGATGGTCACTGGTAATCATCACTGGTTGCTTGTCTGGATATTACTTTCAATCATTCTATATTACTTTTTAACCCTCCCTGTGGATTTCCTCAATTCAGTGGAGTGGCTGGTCACTGCTGGTTTTATGGTGTATATTAGCATTTAAGTGCAGGGTTTTGATGCTACTTCAATTATAAATGAAAGTCATAAAAATAACTCTAGGTTATAAAGTATAATGTAATTAGTCATAATAAAACTATGAACAAAAAAAGAAATATTATTAATTTTGGATAACTAGCGTCAAATATCTCCAAAACTATGTACGAACTATTCAAGGTTAAATTGAAAGAGTCTGTTTGCTGGAACAAAAATAACAGCATGTCACTATGATAATCATTAACAACCTTCCTAAATGGCATCAGCTGTCAACTTGCTATCTATGCTGATGACATAACCTTTTACTCTTGTTTCAATACTAAGTCTGATCAGTTCAATAAGATCATATTAAAGACATCTTAAAAATGAACTACATTCTGTTGTTAACTGGGGCAAGAAATGGCTTCTTAATTTCAATGCCTCTAAAATTAAACTGCCCTCTATCAATCATCAGAGAGACACCTTTCTGCATTTCATCAGTATGGCTAATGCTAAGCTCCAGGAGAGTGACTTGTTACGCCTTCTCAGTCTAACATTCTCAGATGACATGAAATGGAAAGACTATATTGAATCCATTGCTAGTTCAGCTGCTAACAAAGTTGGTTTACTGTGTTGTGCTAGAAATTTTTCTATTTTGAATCTATCTTAAATATTTATAATTCTGCTATTTCTCTATGCTTAGATTATTGCTGCCATAGATAGTCTGGCACTCCTGCCAGACAATTTAGAGATTCTTCAAAAAAATCTAAAAAAGAATCAGCAATATTATTGGCCCTGACCTGGAACCTCAGCTCGAGTGGCTTTCTCACATCTGTAAAGTTACTTCCCTCTGCTCTTTTCTATAAATACTTTCATGGTAAGTCTCCAGATGATCTCTTGCTATGGTACAGAGACTTTATAAATTTAAGCACAGTACTAAATTGGTAACAAGGTTACAGTTGAATTGGCTCGGTGTAATCATAAGTTATCTGCTAACAGTTTCTTGTCTCACACTTATCACTTTTTGAACTTTCTTTGGGCTCCATGCTTTCCAGCCAACTTTGTTCTTCAAAAATTTAAATACAATGTCAATCATTATCTACTGTCTTCCTGATTACTTTTCTCTTGTTCTTACTCCTTAATAATGTCCCTTTTTTTTTCTTATTCTTTCAAGATAAAACCATATCTTGGGGGTGTTGAAGGATGATTGGGGAAAATTTTGATTTATACAAGCAGGAGGTGTTAGACGAGTGTAGGTGGTTGAAACCAAAATGATCCAAAAGATGATGGGCAGCAGGAGGTAAACCTAAATCCAGAGTGGATTGGTATTTTTGTTTTCAGCAAGTCAGTGGTCCATACAGAAGATTGCTTGTTGCTGGTAATTATTTTTGGCTGCTATGATTGCTTGTCCAGATAAAAGTTCATCATGTTTCCCTTGTCCCCGAGTAGATGGTCATTCCAATCATTTTGGTTGTTTGTCTGGATCAAACATTCTGGCTTGCTTTAATTTAATTTTAATAATTATATGGAGGTTTTTACTGCTTGTTTTTGGTGTAACATTACAACAGTGCAGGGTTTTGATGCTACTTCCAATTATAAATGAAAGTCATAAAATAACTTAGGTTATAAAGTATAATGTAATTAGTATATAAAACTATGAACAAAAAAAGAAATATATAATTTTGATATATATCTCCAAAACTATGTACGAACTATTCACTTGAAAGAGTCACAACAAAAAAACAATGTCACTATGATAGAATGGACATCATTATTTTTATTTTTTTCACCTTCAACTTGCTATCTTTGATGACATAATACTTTTTGTTTCAATAGTTGATCAGTTCAATAAGATCAATTAAAGACATCTTAAAATGAACAAATTGAGTTGTTAACTGGGGGCAAAAATTTGGAACAATGATTAAAATAAATTTTAATTATAAATAAATTAATGACAAAACAAAATACGGAATGAAGCCCAAGAGAATAAAATGTTAAATGTTACTCAGTCTAATCCCCTCAAAGGAACAAATAAAAAAGTTTCTTTTATTTCCATTGCTAGTTCAGCTGAACAAAGGTTTTACTGTGATTAAAATTTTCTATTTTGAATTATCTTAAATATTTATAATTCTGCTATTTCAATGCTTAGATTATTGATTTTATTGAATGCTAAACAATTCATTTTCAAAAATCATAAAAATCTTTTAATTCAAGAAATGATGTGTACATGCTGTCATTGTCTTCTCTGACAAAAAAATAAATAGAAATGGTAAGTCTCCATTCTATTTTAATATATATATATATATATATATATATATTTGTTGTACTAAAGGTAACAAAGGAACAGATTTATTGGCTTTTGTAATCATAAGTTAGCTAGTTTTTTTTCTCACACTTAACTATTTGAACTTTCTTATAATGGGGTCCATGATATTTAGCCAACTTAAAGACACAAAAGAAAAACAATAAACAATTAAATAGAATGGACCTGATTACTTTTCTTTGTTTATTTTTTACTTAATAATGTCCCTTTTTTTTATTCTTTCAACACAGTAATCTTATATCTTAGTGGCTTTACACCATGATTGGGGAAAATACATTTTATATATGTAAATATGTGAAAAAATAGTAAAGAACACGTTAGGGTAAATAATAAGAGTTCTTTATATTTTTTTTTTTTATTTTAAAAAACAGGTCCATACAGAAGTAGAGCTTAAATTATAATTATTTTTAAAAAATGATTATTTCTCATGTT